ACTGTGGGACTTAAAGTCCTTCACAATTTAAGCAACTATTTGTGGTTGAACCTATAGTGTTGATCCCCAGGACCTGGTCAGTTCTGAATTTTCTTGTTCACTCCTTTTGAAGGAGAAAAAGTACAGTCTCAAAAGCTTCAGTCATTTTAGCCTTCATCTCTTGTGAACATTAACTGAAGTTTGAATAAACTAAACATTTTCTTACTGCATCCTAATAATAAAATTCCTATTTATACTCCTACTACAGTGCTGTAAGAAAGGTGAAAATCTTCCATCCCCCTACCAGGATGATCCTTCCTGATCTCCTTTCTTTTGCTGCATCCTCATCCCTATGCAGGTGGGGATGAGCATCGGGTAAGGATTCTGATGGAGGTCCTGTTACTCAGGATGTTTGAGAAAGAATATGCACTTAAAACAGTGGTTCTTCACTTCATTAGACTTAAAGTACCCCTTGGAAAACACCAGATCCTAGTTTTCACTCTTTTTTTTTTTTTTTTACTACAGAAGAATAATAGAACAATTCTTCTGTTGCAAGAACTTAGACCACAAAAGGTCAGAATGTTTTTGACACTGGATTCTTATTTTAAATATCTGGGTTTATCTTGTCAATCAGGTGCAAGTGTTTGGTCACCTAAAGCACTTATAAAAAGATCTCATCACCCTGGCTCAGAATCACTCCACACAGTAAATGAAGTGGATCAACTGTGTTGGGATGTCCTGGCACAGCTGATCTGCTTTACTGGAAGAAGCAGACATGCCCATTGTCCAGCAGCACTTGGAGCGTGCCTCTAAAAGTAGGGAAACCTGGGGTTCCTGTAAAGAAATTTGTGGGACACATTGTATTGGGCCCCTGAAGCCTTAGGAATTATTTGCCCAGGGCACCCCAGGTTGCCCATGCTTTCCCACATTAATACAAACAAATGGCCCACAGCAAAATAGCAGTGCAAATTTATACTATCTTTTGTTGCAGCCACAAATTGTGGCACGACAAAGGGCATAGATATCTGTTTGCTTTTTCTTTATACTACTCTAAAAATGTTTGTGTGTTTTACTGATGAATAGGCCAATTAGCTGGAAAGCAAAGCATCACCTTCTGCATGTGCGATGGTATTAGGCCACAGTAAACTCGTTAACATCGCAATATGATAGTACTGTCGGGGACAATCCTGTCTTATGCCAGGGTAATTAACTGTGATTAAATGCACATGTAGACACTAACTGTGGGCACCTGTACATGTCACAGGGTTTAATCCTCATTAAATTAAATAGGTTTATAACATTTAAACTTGTTATTTTGGAGCGTTGCATCCGTGTTTACACATACTAGGCTTTCAAATGAATTAAGCCCAGTTCCCGGCCAGAGCAGGAGAGTGGGACAGTCCTGTGCTGCCCTCCCACAGCTCAGGGTCCCCCATTCTGTGCCCTGCCATACAGCTGTGGGAGCAGGGAGCTGTCACACGACACAAGAAAAAAAGCAGTAATTTTTAAGCAGCAGCAATTCAAAAGGGTGAAATACAAAAAAGTCGTAGTGCCACCTGCTGGGCAAAGTTGCTCATTACACATTTTGGAGTGCCTTTGTGTTTGCACACAACGAATCCATGGACGTGATGCTTTAATTCCCTGAGAGCCAAACTAAATGACATCCAAGGAGTCAGAACACCTGATTCCTCAGGAATCAAGTGTAGACACCTGCCCAAAATCACTTACTGTACATTAAGTGTTAGCTTAATGTGCAGTAAGTTATTTTGCTGGGATGTGTCACTTACTGCAGTCTGCTTTCCCCGCTCCCTTCCCAGGTGGGACAGGACAGGCTGATGGTAGCATCTGGTGCCGTGGCTTCAGACTCGCTCCTCGCCTACCACTGCAGGCCAGCTGCTCTACTGTGCTGCCACCCAGCCCATGGTGCCTGGGCTCAGGGCATGTGAGGCTTCTGCATTTGCAGGTATCAAATTTAGTCACAATTAGCCATTTTTACGGTGCAGTAAGGGCACGCATATGTAGACATGTGCCTGTACTATGCAGTAAATTAGGCTAATGCGCTTTAACATGTCTCATGTACACGCGTCCAGTGCAGCACAGTGGAGTATTTTTTAATTTGCTCTTTTAAGGATGTAGGATATTGGTTACAAGAAGCTTGTAAAAATGCATCGTTAAGGTGGTAAAGGTCCAACATTCAGAAGTTGAAGATTACCAGGATTAAGGTTGTCCATGCAAGGTTAATTTGGCCTTCTTGTACCATAGTATTATGCTGGTCTAATATCTAATGTATGATCACTGAAAATTTGTCCACAGGATCTCAGCCACATTCAGTGCAGAGTGGATTTGCTCTGGGAATGAATCAAGGTTGTGCAGTGATGGGGACTTTTGTCTTGTTGGGCTTTGTCTGTGGAAGCTGGAATGTAAGAAATAAATGAGGCTAGTGATTGTAAGAAAGGGAAGAATTGGCTTATGGTTAAGGCTGTTGAGTGCTGCTCTGAAGAACTCAATTCCACCTCTCCAGTGTTAGAGTTCCTATGCAGTGCTGGATAAATTACTTAAAGCAGACATTTCGTAGATGGTCAGTAACTCTGCCTTAGCTACATTACTGAGTCCTGCAAGAAGATAAGTGAGAATCCACAGCAATGTGGCTATGTTGGACAGGTTTACCAGATTTCTGAGAGTGTGATAGATGCACAATAAGAAAGTCTTTGTCTTTTCTCCTATATTCTTCGAAAATCAAAATCCAGCTTTTCAAAGCACTTCAATTAAATGTGCATCAAAAAGAGCAAACACCGTTGTTTATAAAGTCACTTAAAGTTAAACAAGGAGGTTTTATTTTGTTGAGAATATCATTCTTTTGCTATGACAGAAAAACATCAGAACAATTAAACAGGAAGAAACTTGCTCAGTAGAAGCTACAAAGAAATATTTGTCATTCCAGTAATGATATTTCAAATGATATTTGCCTGGGGGGACACTAGAAATTTATGTCAATAGTAGTGCTAAATCAGTATTAATCATTCAACCACCAGGTGACCAAGTTGTTGTACAACTTTGTTTCAACAGTGAAGAAATATAATAACCAGTCAATGAAACATCAGTGTGAATGGGCAGTGTGCTAACGAATGCTGAAGAGTGACTGGCCAGTTCTTGTTTTGGTCTCCAAAATTTTCATGGGATGCAGAAAAATGAAAGTAAAAGGGTATTCATTTTTGCCACAATATCAATTATAGTACACACATCTATAAACAGAATTGAAAATGAGGGAGGAGATGGATGCTTGCATTAACCTTTTTCTTTGTCACCTACTTCACTGATGTATTAATTGGAAGTGAACAGACACATGTTACTTTTTTTAGCCTCTGCTTGGAAGAAAACTGCCTCCTGTGCTTAATCTCACATACCAATTCAAATCTTCACTTTGTTTGTCCCTGTGATAGTCGCACGCAACACTTTGGTACTCAAGCAGTTTTCACTGAGCAGAGGATATTTTCTGCCTTTAGTTCTTAGATCAGTTCCTTAAAGAAATGTGCTAGTTTATAGCCTACTGAACACGTATCATTTTACCTTTCATTTAAAAACTAAAGTTTTAATGAAATATCTTTGTATCTTTTCCACTTTAATTTTAATTTTAGCAAAAAGATATTTTTCTTGTATCATATTTTTTAATGTGTATGGACACTTGCTGGATAGAGTAGTAGAGTAAAGGATAGCTTGAGTGTGCATACTGTAAGAGAGTTGTCTGAGAGAGTCACATACCATGGAATGGCTGTTAAAGCTAATTTAAATCTTATCTGGTGGAAACTTAAGTGGATGTTCATGGCAAGCTTGTAAATGAACATAAGAGAATGATTCCTGAGGTTGAATAGGTTGCACAGTATAGCCCAGGAGACCATTCTGGCTTGGAGGAGATTAGCTTCTGTCCAAGGCGCACCTTGAATGCCATTTTGCACAGTTGGTCTTTTTCTGTACATGAGGCATACATTGCCAAGTACCTACTGCCGGAATGCATGTTGATTTTTTTCCCGAATGTGTTCCAGTTTTCTGAAGGGGGAGATCAACCCCAATTTGTTGACATTTTTGGTAGCCAATGCTGCTGCTTTGTCTACCCTGACTTTAATTTCAGAAGCTAAGTTTAGGGATTCATACTGCAATCTGATTGGAAAAAAGGTTGCTTATTGGGAGGAAAATAAAGAAGTGTGAGGGGAAAATTTAAAAGAGAGCATTTTAAATGCTTCCTGCAGGAGTTAATAAACATTTATTACAAATTTACATGGAGAATTCAGTTGTCTTCTAAAGAGTTATTATGATAAATTCACAGAGACTACATTCAATTAAGAAGTGAAAAACAGATTTTAATTTGGCTTTAAGTGCAAATCTAAAATAATCTTTGCTGTGAGGCTATTTCCAATATCTACATGATGATTATTTATGCATGGGCATGCATGTATGCTGTGATGTGCCTCTCTATTTCTTCGTTTTCATAGATTTTGTAGATTTTCAGGAAAAGCCACATCGGTACTCTGTTTTACTTTAGGAATTATTTTGTAAATGATCAGGGTCCCAAATCCTGCTCAATTTATTCATAAAACATTACATTTCAAGATTTTTGATGTGAGCAGTGAAAGTAGGATTTGTGATATTTTTCTTTATTTGCTTCCTCCACAGATGTTACCTGTAGGCATCACTGTTGAAATGATTGTGATGAGGTATACCATGACATACTGTGTATGTTACTGACTGAGATTTAAATCAATAAATTAACCATGTATAGGAAATTAGAAGGAAACCATATATAGTTTAGATTTTATGAATAGTCTTATCAGTCAAGTTACAGAGCTGCTTAACTAAAAGAGAGCCTGAAGGAAAGACAACACGGTACAAGTGAGAAAATATATTTTCTACTTGTCTTCCATTTGCTGTGTCCAGAGGAGACAGTGACTTTGAAATGAAAGGATATTGATCTGTTGTGATCATGGGGATATTAATACATTTATTTTTCCCTTTTAACTTTCTTTCAGCATACTGATTTATGTCAGTACATGGACAAACACCCTGGAGGACTTCATCCAGACAATGTGAAGGTAAGAGTTGAAAAAGGACACTTTCAAGGAAAGCACAGTAGCAATAAACTTGTGATGAAAGTAGGGTGAAATAGTCCACTGAAGTTTGCTTGGTTATTAGACACAGAAAAGTGAGTTGCCGTATGATTTAATTGTATTGATGTTGCATTTTATTATTCTTTCCATAAAAAAATGCAAATGCAGATATTATTTAAACACTCCTACAACAGATGAACTATTTGAATATGGCCAGTAGATGCTGAGCCAAAATAAATTGGAAAATATTATTCCAGTGTATCAGAACATTTTTCATTTCTGCTTGGAAAACAAGAAAAGAGTGCTCCTCTGACTCTCTTCTCAAAAGAAAACCTTTGACTGGAACATTTTAAATGATTAGAATTAGACCTTCAAATGAGGTGAACCAGTGTAATCTCACTGATTTTAATGTGTCTGTTTTGATTTACATCATCCGAAAGTCTTAGAGCTACCCCTACCCCTAATCTGCTATAGTGATAATATTTTCCTAATTGTTGTGTGCTCTTATCCTTATTAAGCAGTTTTAAAAAGTTAGATATTTAATACATGCAGCCAAATGTGGGTTTTTATTGTTAGCATTTAATGGAGGGGTGAGATGGTAGAGATCTTTTGGGATATGATAGAACTACCTTCTGGGAAGTCAGCCAAATTATCTTAGCATAAAACAGAAGCCAGTCAGACATGCAGAGCATGTCTTACATGTCCAGACTATCCAGATTATATTTGTTGCACCAGACCGGTGCATTGTTGCTGTTCCCATTTTTGTTTTACTTTGGAAGTGTTTAAATCTTCACTCACCATGCTAAGAATTTTACTCCATGCTAAGAAATGTGGTCTTTTAAAAGAAGTAGTAATACAAGAGTTTGTAAAAAAAAAAAAAAAAAAAAAAAAAATCAAAAAAAAAATCCACACAATGGTTTTCCTATGACAAATTTGAAAGGTTGCCTGGTTTTTACTTTATTAAGAAGAAAAAGGTTTAAAAAAAGGAAGGAATCTAATTTTTGTAATATGTGATCACCATTGTACATCAAATAATAGTTGCATAATTGTAGTTTGGTTAATTTCCTCTGCTTTCATTAAAAATTGCCATTCAGTATATATAATTTAGATAAAATTATCTGTAAAATAAGAATGCTTTAAAGAAAAAAAACTCCTTTATTGCGTTTTCTATACTTTTATACATCAGATGAAAATGATTCTCATTTAAACTGTGGCCTGTCTATACAACAACAATAACAACATATTTAAAATATCTTTGAGATATGTAGTTATGGCCCAAATACATTGTCCGTGCAGACTGAACTCCCCTCACCTCCAGTGTAGTGAGCACATTAAGGATTTATGACTACTAGAAACCCATTTATTGTTGGCAGCAACAACAAGGAATTGTTTCCTGACACAGTGTATCAGAGTGGGGTACTGGAGGAGGGCATGCATATTTCTTAGCCTTCCTCCTCTCCCCTCACAGCCCAAAAGATCTTTCAGAGCTTTAAGTGTATAGTGGTCCTGCCTGGTGACTTTGAGAAGAAACCATAGAGGACATATGCAGACAAGGTTCCTTGGGTGAATTTGATATCTTTTATTAGACCAACCCTAATAGTTGGAGAAAAGTTATTAAGCAAGCTTTCGGGTTCAAAAACCCTTTGTCAGGCTAAGGAAGTTTCAGCAGTTGGTGTGTGCTCTTCCTGGATGGAATGAAAAGAGGACATATGTCTTCCAAAGGCTCTTGGCTGCTATCCTCCAGGCTAGCAAGAAGGCTAAAACAACCAAGTAAGACTGAAACCTTCAGCTTACAGGTTGACAGATAATGGGGTATATTCTGGGCCTCCACTTTTTTACTATTTGTCTTATTGTGTGTTCAATGTCTGCATGAAGCTATTGCACTCTCTCCTTTTGATTTCTACCTAATATTGCTTGCGAGATGGCTGCCATAGTTCTTTGTGTGGCATTTTAACTTTGTGCCATTTTGAAATTGTGGCATTTCTTGATAAAAGTAAATTTTAAAAATTCATCTCTGAAAAGATTTTGGAGCCTGGACATTTGAGGCAATTTTGACTCAACATCTTTGATTTAGCTGGTTTATAAGGTGCATCTCTACTGTGCTTTCTGCTTAATATAATAAATTACTCATGTTAAGTAAACTTTGGTATTCTTCCTCTCCCCCCTTCACCTAGCTGTGAACTTTAATAGAAAATGAAATTGTCTTGCTTTTGGAGAAATATGCTTCTTCACATAACTGTAAACAATAGCTATGTTTTCCTATTTGTGTCTGCATATTTTTGTTGGCTCCTTATAAATTCTTTCTTCCAACAACTCCCTCAGTACTGATTCTGAGAGTGCCTTCCAAAAAGTAGTCATTCTTTTACTCTCCAGAAAGACAATATCTCCTTATGCCTCTGGTGGTAATTTAGTTAAAATTAGAAAATAAGCTTAGGCTGGCTTCAGGTACAATGGCAGTTAATACTGTCATATGTACAGTTATAGAATTACACTCCCCTCCATCGTTTATTAAGGAAACAACTAACCACAGACATAAGCAGGGTTCCAGTTTTGTCTGACTTGTTTACTAGAGACCACGAATCATTTGGAGCTGTTTACTACACACACGTACATCTAGTAGTTGCAAAATATAGCGACAAGCCCATTAGTATGATCAAAACCTGTAGTCACATTATTTTGTTTAGTTTATAGCCCAAACTTCCTTCTGCCTTTTATCATTTGCCCTTTCACTGTGGGGTATTGTGAAGAAACTGAATCATGACCATTAAGAAAAAAACCTCAGACCAGTACCCAGCTGCAGTAGCTAAACTGGGCAATAGGGAGCTGTTCAGGGAAGGGAGAGTGAGAAAGGTATGCATGCACAGCATGTACAGCATACAAAGGTATGCATGCACAGTGTCTGTGTGGTGGGGTAGAGGGGTGTAAGTCAGCTGAGTGGTGGGAATAGGTGATCCAGAGCTGAGGGTGCAAGAGTTCTCAGTGCCCAAAGAGCTTATCCTAGAGTGAGCTACTCAGTGGTCTGGTTTTGCATAGCCATACCATTCATCTGCATGGGTGCTGTGAATCCTGCTCATCCTCTTTCAGTTGCTTCAATTTTACTGCAAGGAGACCCACCTCAGCTATGGAGGCAGAGATGAGATTTTCCCATTCATGTATTTCTAGCTCAGCTTCTTGCTGATGACCACATTTCAAAACGGCTTAGCTGCATCTCAAGCACTGGTCAATGCTGCGGCTGGATTAGGAGGGAAACTGCTGCTAGTGCTCATGATACATTAGAACCTCAAAGAGAAACTGTTGGTTACTTTACAAAGCTAGCCACAGTATTTAGTCATGTTTGAAAAGCAGCTGAGTACCTCTGAAATACGTGTTTTAGTAGGAAGCTGAACCAGAGTTCGCATTTCTAAATTAAGAGATCAAGCTCAGTTGGAGCCTTAGGGAAATGGCAAGAGGAGAAAGAAGGAGGGGAGTAGAAATAATTTAAAGTTGCCTTTCTCTTTCAGATGATCTCCTGGTTTCAGCAGCACCCCTTTGGACATTTTAAATTATTTTCTGTAATTAACATTCACTTCCACTAGTTGTGCACATATTTATTATTCTCAAATTATTTTTTTCTTCTAGAAAATAGGAGCTGAAAATGACCAAAACATCACAAAGTGTTGGGAGGAAAAGTAGGCTCGTGGGGACTGAGATACAGGATCCCATGAGCCAAACAGGGCACCTGAAAGAAGAGTAGTTATTTACAAAGGGTACCTATAGGGCTAGGGACAGAAGATACACATACCCCCCACACAACATGTGAATAAGCAGTCAAATAGTTTTAGGAGAAACTTGGTCAAATTGTAGGAATTCTTTCTTATCCTTCCACTGTGAATTTTCTTTTCCTAATAATACTTTGCATACAGTCCCATCAAAGTTAGTTTTTAATTATATTTTCAAATTAAGCAATTATGCTCGCATAGCAGTAAACATTCTAGGCCAGGGCGGGCATTTATTTTGGGTGGAGGGCCGCTTACTGAGTTTTGGCAAGCCATTGAGGGCTGCGTGACAGTCAGGGGCAGATAAATATTAATTTTCTAAATTTTTAGGGGCCACTTGGGCCAGATAGAATGGCCTGGTGGGCTGCATCTGGCCCGCGGGCTGCATTTTCCCATCCCTGTTCTAGGCTGTCTGGGCTAAACTCTAATACTAAGCTCTAGTGATGCTCTGTGAAAGTAGCTAAAGGCCCTAGGCCTTCAGCTGTGTTCTTGTGAAGTGTACCCACATCCTAGTAATTCACATTCTGTTGTGGTTTATTGCTAATGACTATAAATATGTAAATGGACTCTTATATGTACTTACACAGGAAATACCTTCTCTCATATTCTATGTAATATCAATTAAAGTAATGTGCTGACTTGTGGTACCAGTAACTTCATAGTATGTGGAAGAAAAGGCATCATTTATTAATGTTTTGGCTTCCCTGCCCCTCCCCCCCCCCAGCCTAATTATGAACCAGATTTATTCCTTATTTGCCAGCTAAAGACAATGCAGTTCTCTAGGGTTTACTCTTAGGAGAAAAAAAATGCAAGCTGAAACAAATCCAAATTGCTCCAATGGATGCAGATACTGTTGTCCACTTGGGTATTGCCTCTGACATTACTGTCTTTCTTCATGATTCCATGAAGACTACTTAATGTCACGTAAACATTCAAAATAGTTGTAATATTTTGCTTACTTTTTGTATGTAAGTGCACATAAGACTAATTCAAAACATGCACTTTTAAGAGTCTTGTGACACAACATTTAAGCACACAGAGAATGCTTTTTTTTTGTATGGCATTTAGCAATTCAGGTGTGTGTAATTGTAATCTGCATATTTATGCATATAATTATTTCAACCTCTCTCAATGCCTGAGTCAAAATATCAAAAGCAACATTCAGGTTTTAGAACCTTGAAGTGTGCATGATGTGTAGACCTGGGATTTTATGTTAGGCCTGAGATCTTT